GCAACCCAAACTACTGTTTCCGGAGTGATCTTCTACCATATGCCCAAGTACCTTTTCTTGGAGTTGCCAGGAGAGAAGAAGCCGAGCTCAAAGCTTTGACCTGAAGAGACCAATGTCTCTCCATCTTTCATAGACTGGCCTGAATTTAAAGTGTCAGCTGCAGTCGATAAGCCGAAGACTGACAGGCAGACAATGAAAAGGCAGATGAACAAAGTAGTTGTTTCCATCCCTAAACTAAATCATGCAGAACCGCGAATCTGAATAAGATTTAGAAGAAAAAATACATGTGCTTGTGCCATGCAAGCTAAAATCTAGGTTTCGGAGAGAAATAGGATTGTGATCACCACTATCTGCCTTCTAAGAAGCTGTCAGGATAGAATTTTCAGTTGGCTCGACTGGTCAACTCACATGTCCTGCAAGATTGGTGGAGATCCTTTCTAGGTTGCGCGCATCGCATTTCTTATTTCTAGGACACGTCGGTCAGAAGATTCGTATTCTTTTTTTGGCCTGATGCTTGATGATTGGCACATACCTGAATTCGCATTCATATTTGAACTATACCACGCACATTGCAATCTAGTGTAATTGATTATGTTCACCGTGTGTTTATCAATGTCATCGTGGCATTAACCACGGGGCATCACAGACGGCCTTTGGCTGAGTCGTGATGTGAAATGTGAAATTGTGAGTACTTTAGCATTAAAAACGTACACAAGCAAAGTCGTATAACAGATTGTGATTTCATTTTTGAACATTACCGGACTCTTAATTACGGACTTCTCAGTTTGTCGCATCAAGCTACTAGATAGACCTTAAAGAGATGCCCACCTTGGTCTTTCATTTGTCACTTCAGTCTGACCTGAACACCCACAAAATTGAAAATTTTGGGACATTTGTCCGGGCTCTTAAAGAGTCACGGCACGTTAAAATCTATGGAAACCGGAGAAACTTCTCAAAAGTTACGATGGGGCCCTTCTGACGAGCATCATACATAGCGGTCATAAGATGATACATACCTTCGACCCTTTTGTTGATTTTTTTTCCTGTTTTGGTCCATCAACTATTTTACATTTGACAAATTTAGACTTGGAACCTCCCAAAATATATTGATCACAATTATTCATTAGATTTAAGATTTTCACTGCTTCAGTTTTTAAATGCCAAAGCATTGAGTTGACTACTGTAGGATTATAATTGCTAATGATTATCGCCATGATGAATTTCTTTTCATTTTTTTTAGGTTCTCTAAATACTCTGGCTTAGTACAGTACAAGAGGATAAGTGGTAATATAGGATGAAATGTGGGGATGGATTGGATATTTACTCTAAAAAAACATCAGTTCTATCATTTGACAATGCATATCGTCATAAAGACGATCCACGTCATTATGAATGAGAAACTCGTTTGATACTCGTGAGTCTTGAAGCTTGTTGGCCTTCATCTCGTGATAAATAGTCCTCGATATGCAAGCAAGCGACAGATTCATATCCACACATATCACAATGCTTTCACAAACTTTTCAGATTGTTGTTTAGCAAAAGTTTTCTATAACTCGAGAACCTGATGAAGCAACGTTAAAGTCTAGCTCACTGTACCTCTCACACTTTGAAGTGCTTAGTTCACATCTAATTATTACTAGCCCATGTTTAATTAGGAAGACTCTTGAACACAACTATGCACAATTCTGAAGCTACTCTTAGAAAGATTGATGATCAAGGGAGGACAACTAGGAGCTGAAACAAAACCTGTATTCATGGGTCTCCTCTTTCCTTAGTTCAAACCAAACAAATGATATGATAAACAAAAGTTTTAATTTGACTAGCTGTCTTATTTATATTTCCTCATGCTATTCCTTCCTCGTGGAAGATACCAATATTTCCCTTTCCATGTCAAGCTCACACGGGATATCTCTTATCCATTCTGTCATTATGGTTGTCTATAATTGTTTCCTGTCGATTCTGATTCCACCTTGAATACTACGGGAATGTTGGATTTCATGAAAAATTTTCCTGGAATAATATTATTAATCAAAGGAACGCGGGATTCCTTCCTTATCGCTCTTGTTTTGAGAGCCTAGGAAAGTAATCCAACATGTGGTCGGCACTTAAAATTATGTTCGGGAAAAGGAAGCTATGAAGTCTTATATAGTCATATTAGAATCTCATGATTTGTCATTTACCTACACCTAGTAAATAAATATGATGTAAAACTTTGGTGTATAAGAATGTCTTTCAGGAAAGGTGGCTAAGGTCATCTTGTTTGGGTTCACTTTTGTCTGCTCTACCATCTTACATACAACTAGTAGCATACACGTGCGTTGCACAAACATGTATTTTATCATTTGTGTAGGATGAACTATATATTAAAACACAGTATTGGTTACATTGTATCTTATTTCATATGAATCTTCCTTTTTGAACCAAATAAAGATGAAACTCTCAGTTCATATGTATATTAATGTAAAATATAAGAACTCGGTAACAGTTAGAAAATTCCTAAGTATTATGTGACATATATAACTTTATATGTGATGGACTACATTAATGTAATGTTGAGGTAAAATAATAAAAATCTTCCAAGGAAATATTTAATAGGAAGAGTTACAAAAAGTGCTAAAGTTTTCAATAAATGCTAATTTGGGACATAAAAGCTCAGTAAAACTATTTTCAGTTACTGAACAAAACCAGCAAGGAGAATAATCAATCTCTTAACGGCAATCCTTTGTTGTGTAAAGCAAACCATCAAATAATAAAATAAACAAAACAAGAAAATAAATTGGATATCATATTTACATGGTTTGGTCGGTGTAACCTACATTCACGGGGAGAGCAACACAATATTCCACTATAGATTAAGCGATACAACGGAGAATATATCCAACTCAAGTCACTCGAACATTCTCAGTACTTTCTAGGCACTAATTACACCCTATAACTCATAGTGCTTAACCCCACAATTTTTCACAAATAATCTCTCAATCTTCAAAGGAATTACAGAAATCATAAGACAAGATTTTCACGGCTTCAAACACTCAAGACACAATTTACGAGTACAAACTCGTCTTGGATGCTCTCGACAAAGAAGACCTACATCTCATATAGACAATAATTGGATAAAAAACAAGAAAATTTTAGGAAACATATTCCTCCGAGGAAACCTCCTAGAATTGGGAAAGTTTCCTTTTTCGTGCTCAAATTCGAGACACAATTTCAAAAACTGTCACCTTGGCTCGACGTCTGTGCCAAGTTACAATTGCTTTGTTGTTTGCTGCTACTTTCCCACATACCCTCATGGACTCCTCAACTGCTATCTTGGACCTAGTTAGAACACCAACTTTACCTACACCTTTACCTATTCTACAAAGATTTTCTGACTCAACTTTCTCTGCCACAAATAATGCCAAACCATTGTTGCATTCATATTTGTCAGTAGATCAAGCACGCACCTTGTCAAACTCAACAGCTTCAGGAACCGGTGGTTTTATAGGCTTTACCTCGCTATAAGCACCATCTATGTCGATTACTACATTAGTACCCGCTACCTTAGGAGTTTCTGATTGCAACTCCACCTTGATCTAACATCATCCAAGTCCGTATAAACGCTACAACACTCGCTCCTATCCAAAAGTACTAGAGATTCATCAAATGTAACTCTTCTGCTAATAATAGGTGAATTTAATTCCAAGCACCAACATGCATTTTCTTGCCTTTCTATCGAGCTTATCATCGCTCACTCGAAGATAATACGGGTAACACAATATTCTAAGAACACAATAATAAACAATGTTACTTGACAACATTTCTTCAAGAGTCCGACATTCAATTGCAGTCGATGGGGATATTCACCGAGTTGTGGTTGCTCATCTCATTCATTTACAATCTTTGTCAGGTTTTTCAGCTAGCAACAAGTAGGACGGGATTAATATAGTCGGGGAATTTTTGGTAGTTGAATCTTGGGTATGAGTGGAAATAGTTGGCTGTATATATGAGATGTTTTTGTTGAGATTTCGTTTGTTAATTTGGAAAAGTATATATCATTTTTATTGACTTTAGAACTCTAAAGCGATAATCTGATAACTATTTTATCGTATATATAGATGGAGATATATGTTTGATAATAGGTTGATGTTGGTTAGTTTGATACCGCATCCTTCGAGTAGGAGGACGACCAACCATCTCATTCCCTTGTATTTATGGGAGTGGGGGTGTGATATTGACAATCAAATCCATCTTTATCCTCATTTTTCTGACCCCTTCCCACTTGTCTTTCTCATTTTCTTGGGGAAATCTTTGATGTCCATCTGTTTTCGTGCATCTGATTCTTGCTTCATATTCCATCCAAAATACGATAACATGTCAGCTTCTCCACAATGTTTATTCATTTGGATGGATAAATGATGAAAAAAATAAGCCTTTAAATTCGGTCTACCAAGTCGTACTTAACCCGCTTATGTAACATTTTCGTAAAATATCAATTTCATGTGATGTGATGATCTAAGCACACCAGATTTGCATGGTGCAAACAAGAAATCTAAAGAAGTGTACAAAACAAAGAGTCAAGAATTATGTATTAGATATCAATCATTATCCGACCTTTTTTGTAAATTAGTTTGAAAGTCCATATTGCTTTGTCTTCTATTTTATTTTTTGCTCTTTCTTGGGTAAGTAAGAAGCAATAGCTTTGGGAACATTGCCACTGGGGCCTATTTCTCACAAGTTGCTATTGGGCTCTTCGGCTGGGCGTCGGCGGTCATGAGACGATACATGATTTGGCCCCTTTTTTCTTTTGGTCAATCAACTACATATTTGGCAATTTCAGACAATGACTTAAGGAGATTATAAAATGAAGACAATAGAATTTGTTACTCTTACTATTTTGATTAATGCACCGAAAGTGTTGTTGGACTCGTACAGCTAAGACCAAGCAGTAGATACTCTGCATTGGGAGAGTTCATATCCAGGTTTCATATAAGGATAAAGTAAACCAGTAAATATAACAATTTGCTCATATAAAAGGCTAGAGAGTCGATATTATTTATCTCTACAAATAATCATTGACAATGAACTTTCAATAAAAAGGCTTCCACCAAGTTGCTTAAGCCACCGAATCATAAAAACTTGAATCCTTTATTGTAGGCCTCGTCCTACGCTAGACAGTCCTCGATCTGCGAGGAAGCAACAGATTCGTGTACACACTCTTCTGATCCTTTTTATCTTCATGCGCCGAGAGAGCTGATTTAAAATTCTAAGTTGCACATTGCGGGGAACATCCTCGATGGGAAGTTCATCGACCTTCCGGCATGGTGATTGTCACGATATTCCTTGTGCATGATTCTTCCCTCATTGAAGATGCCTATGGGCTCGATGGAACTCTCTCCATGAAGAACCCGGGCTGTTTAGGCTGTGGCAAGATTGCTTCCTCATTCGCTAACATGAAAACGACTGAAGACATTGTTGGCCTGCCTCCGGGAAACTTTTGGACACATGGCAAACCTACATGAATGCATCTCTCTACTTGGGATGCAATGAAGGAGTCGCATAGAGATTTATGTAGAAGCACCAAGGACCTGCCTGCGCTCCACAGCAACCATGCCTAGGACAAATCCGTTCATGTCATTAGACATCACATAAAAGACATGAGTTTATACAACCATACTGTACTGACTTACATGCCCAAGAAGATTGTGTTGATGATCAGGATGGCATAACCCTCTGTTCCTTTTGCCTCTTACAATCTCTAGCAAAATTACACCAAGGCTAAAAATGTAACATCCCGGGTCTATACTGTGTAATATTGTCCGCTTTGAGCCCACTGACCCTCACGGCTTTAAAACGTACACAGATATAGAACCCCAAGCCTTATAAGCAAGCCCAAGGCTCCTTCCCTAAGCGATGTGGGACAGGAGAGGTACCTCATTTTCCTGCGCACGTCCAGGGTAGTGGTGCATCCTCCCTAAGCGATGTGGGATAGGAGAGGTACCCCACTTTCCTGCGCACGTCTGGGGTAGTGACGCGGACGCACTGCCATCCCTCCTCCCCGCACTCCGCCGCTTGGCTTGGGCCGTCACACTCTCCACCCCTTACGGCCACAACGCCCTTGCTGTGGGCCCACACGCGGTTGGGAGTCGGCTCTGATACCACCTATAACACCCCGGGTCTATACTGTGTAATATTATCCGCTTTGGGCCCACTGACCCTCATGGCTTTACAATGCATTACATAGATATAGAACCTCAAGCCTTATAAATAAGCCCAAGGCTCCCTCCTTAGGCGACGTGGGACGGGAGAGGTATCCCACTTTCCTGCGCACGTCTGGGGTAGTGGTGCGGATGCACCGCCATCCTTCCTCCCCGCGCTCCGCCTCTTGGCTTGGACCGTCACAAAAAACGTCAAATTTCACAGAGAATTTTCGGTCAAAAGCAAATTCCGGGTGTCAAATATCTAAATTCAATCCTATCAACGATGCAAGAAAAGTAATGGAAATTTGCACAACACAAGAATTTATGTGGTTCAGCAGGGGAGATGTTCCGCCTACTTACGTCCACGGGGAGATGAGATCTATTTCACTAATAACGTAGAAAAATGTACAGCCTTTTTTTCTCGCTCCCCCTTCTCTCTCTAGAGATGTTTCGCCCTAAATATATATAGCGAAACCCTACATAGCACAAATTACAAAATTGCCCACATAGCCTAAAATATTTAACTTTCCCATATAAATCCTTCTATGACTGAACAGTTAACGCCTCTGGCGGCCCGGGGCCGCTGCCCCCGCAACCCCCGCCGGGGCGGCCCCCCCGGACCCCCGCCCATTCACCGGGGAGCGGGACCCCCGTGCTGTCCAGTCGTCAGGGAGCCTTTCGGAACCGCCTCATAATCTCTTGGATAATAGAATACAAGACATCAACCTCAACACCGGGGACATATAGGGTGCGTATGGTAACGTTTCTATTTCTGGGAATAATTTCGTTTCAAAAATAGTTTTTTCTATTTCTATTTCCTGGAAGAGTTTCTGAGCAAAATAATGCGTTTGGTAACTGCACAAAATTTCTATTTCTAGAACAGAAATGTGTTTTGTAACTGCACAAAATTTCTATTCCTAAAATAGAAAAAGAACAGAAATGCGTTTGGTAACTGCACAAAATTTCTATTCCCAATTTTTTGCATTCAAATCTATATCTTTTATTTAACTATAAGTATAAGTTATAAGTGAAAAAAATCAATAAGCATGATTTATTGGTTTGTCTAATCCTTTTTAGGGGTTTAAAACCCCTTTTAATCCCTAAACTAAGGAATCTTCAAAAATACCACTTGGGCACCTCAAAAATTTAACTTTCACTCAAAGTGGGTGGGCACAGGTATTCTAAGCCATTATGTGAATTTTTTTATAGTTTTTGGGGTAAAATTTATTAAAATTTTTTACTTTCCCTAAATCTGTTTCTTTTTATTTTTCTGAAAATTTTTTATGAAATTTTTTTAATTTTTTCAATTTCGGAATTTTGCAAATATTTAAGGGTTTTCTGAGTTTTTCTGATTTTTATGGATTTTCTGAGAATTTTTCTGATTTATATGAATTTTGGGAATTTTTTAATTTTCTAATTTTTTATGGGATTTTTCTGAAATTTTTCTAATTTTTATGAATTTTCTGAATTTTTTAAATTATTGTAAGCCATTATGTGAATTTTTTATTTTTGTTTTTTTTTGGGGAAAAGTTTATTAAAACTTTTTACTTTCCCGAAATTTGTCTCTTTTTATTTTCCAGAAAAGCTTTTTATGAATTTTTTTTAATTTTTTCAATTTCGGAATTTTGCAAATTTTTATGTGTTTTCTGAGTTTTTATGATTTTTATGGATTTTCTGAGAATTTTTCTGATTTTTATGAATTTTTGGAATTTTTTATAATTTAATTAATTTTTTATAATTTTTTTATTATTTCCGCCGAGAATGGACTGGATCGGTGCTTTGAGACGGTTTGCAAACGATGGAGGATGGAGGAGGAGCTGAGGTCGCGGCTTGAGGACAGGACCTTTCTATTTCTATTTCTATTTCTAGGAACAAAGAAGTAAATTTTTTCTACTTCTTATTTCTGCTCCAAATCTATTTTTTGGCCACTTTTCTATTCCAGGAAATAGAAAAATAAAATGCGTTACCAAACGAATTTCTGTTCTTTTTTTGTTCCAGGGAACAGAAAAACAGAAAAATAGAGAAACAGAAGCGTTACCAAACGCGCCCATAGCCACTGCATTAAGAATATTGCGAACTTAAATCTAGCCAATGCTCATCAACAGTTGCTCGTTAATCAAGATGAGAAACTTACTAGGTACCAACAATTCTTCTTGTTCTCGCTTCTCTTACATCGCCTCCAAATATTCTTGCGAGGCCAAAGTCTGAGATTTTAGGATTGAGATCATCATCTAACAATATATTGCTTGTTTTGAGATCTCTGTGAATGACTTGTAGTTTTGAATCTTGATGAAGATAGAGAAGACCTCTCGCAATTCCTAAAACTATGTCAAAGCAACTTTTCCACGCTAACAAGAACCTTCTGTCATAATCTGCACGCAGTCAACCCAATGTAAGTCTTAACATTTAAGCTCAGCACTCTAAAGAGAATGAGTTTATCGTTTAGCATTTGGATGTATGTCCATGCAGAGGCCCAAATGACATCCACACATTGAAGTGCTTAGTTCACATCTAATTATTACTAGCCCATATTTAATTAGGAAGACTCTTGAACACAACTATGCACAGTTCCGAAGCAACTCTTAGAAAGATTGATGATCATGGTGGGACAACTAGGAGCTGAAACAAAACCTGTATTCATTGGTCTCCTCTTTCCTTAGTACAAACCAAACTAATGATATGATAAACGAAATTTTTAATTTGACTAGCTGTCTTATTTATATTTCCTTATGTTATTCCTTCCTCGTGCAAGATACTAATATTTCCCTTTCCATGTCAAGCCCACAGAGGATATCTCTTATCTAATCTGTCTTTATGGCAGCCTATTATTGTTTCCTATCGATTCTGATTCCACCTTGAGTACTACAGGAATGTTGGATTTCATGACAAATTTGCCTAGAATAATATCATTAATCAAAGGATTGCCAGATTCCTACATTATCACTCTTAATTTAAGAGCCTAGGAAAGTCATCCAACATTTGGGCTCCGTTTGTTTTGCGAAAAATGAATGATTTAGAAAATATTTTCCTAAAAATAATCGTTCGTATAGCTTGAACGTGAAGTACTCCTTTTGAAGGTTGAGCAAGGTGAATTCTCGTATGATTGTGACGCAATATGTCCTTTTTAATGCGATCTTTCTTGTCTCATCCCATCTCCTGTTGCCCATTTTTCTTGATGATTAGCTCAAAGCTCGATGAGTCTTCATGTTTGCTCTATACCTCACTGTAGTATATATTGATCTACCATGTGTTTCTTAATATTATCAAGATCATACAAAGGGACCCTAGCTGAACTGCGACTTTGAAAGTACTTAAAAAAAAGTGTACAAAACAAATGAAATGTCAAGAATTATGTATTAGATATCAATCATTAACCGATTCTTTTCATCGTTAGATTGGTTAATAAATTAGTTTGAAATTCCACATTGCTTTCTTGTTTTTTGTTTCCCCTTTCTCTGGTAAAAAATAATTGCTTTGTTTGTAGACGGACAAAATGGAACATTGCCACTCCTTACCAAAAAAAAAAAAATGGAACATTGCCACTGGTGGGGGCTCTTCCGCTGGATGTCGGCAGTCATGAGACGATAAATTTGACAATTTCAACTCGGTAAATGTCACGCCCCGAGCTCCCGTCGAGCCCGCGACATCCCGCCTCCGGTCGATCAGTTGCGACGTCCTAGGTTGTCGCCGACCTCATCTAAACATCAGAGATTTAATTGCGCACACGGAATCCATAAGACACCCGAACAAAAATTTAACTGGGGAAACATTGGGAGAATATATACAAATCCATTACTCGGTCAAACTTGTACCACCATATTTACAAAATACAAGCCTTAGTTTACCGGTGCACACATTTGAACCCTTCAAGAGTAAGAACAAAACCGATGACCTGCCATCCAACCCGTAACAACCTTTAACACCCCTTGCTTGGCATCCACTCGAATCTAACTCCACATCATCCCGTCTCCCATTTGAAACTCACTGTCTCATACTCGTATGCACTGGAACTCCAAAACGTACCGGAGGTGATGGCGGATTATTCACGGCTCGGTTTGGGTTCTCAAATATTTGGTTGAAAACAACCGTGAGACACTTCTCGCAAGTTCACCCCTAAACCCAACCTAGCTATCACGTACCTCCGACAATAGCACAAACACACACATTCACGCACATCAAATCATCACAACACAGTGTACATCAATTAATATGGTCGCTTAATCATGCGCACACCCGCACTCGATCACAATTACATCGATGCAAACACACGCATGTACAATTCTCATTTCGCACACATTCTTTCCGTTCTCAATTCCTCTTTCCCACATCACTCGCCAAAGACCCGCGTAAACATACACGCCTCGGTACACTATCGCGACCACTCATCACTTCCCACATCACTCCAGTGACCCGCGTAAACATACACGCCTCGTGTACACCGCGACCACTCATCACTTCCCACATCACTCGCCAAGACCGCGTAAACGTACACGCCTCGGTACACCGCGATCATTCACCACATCCGGCCCGCGCACCCGTTCACGCCTCAGCCCCAATCGCGACTTGAGCATCACACGCCCCAGTGCCCGATCCCAACTCAGCCCCGCGCCAAATGCGACAGCCTACGTGATTGGAACCCGAGCTTAGGATGCCTCGGTCCAATCCCGGCCTCACCCGAGCTAATCGTGCCTCGGACCGAACTCAATCCCGCTTTTCGAGCCTCACTGTGCCAAATGCAACGACCCACGTGATCGCTCGCCCGAGCTTATGATACTCGGCCCGATCCCATTCTCGCACTTACACACCTTCACATAACTTCCACAATCACAAGCCACACCACTTTTCTTTCTTACCCATGCACATGCTCATCAAGCATTTACCACAATCAACTCGGCCCATCACACGTGGCCCGCGCACGCATCAATTAACACGTAAAACATGCTCACTCAAGATTCGACATGGCCAATTTCAACAATTAATTCAATCTGCCCACGCGCACATAATCAAGCACATTTCAATCCATCAAACCACGGTTCAATAAACACACAAGGCTGCTCATGGGCCCACAATCACAGCCACGTTCATAGGCATAATTTCGACATTTCCATGCCTATTAAACATCACAATCTAACTATACTACCACACACCAAACCGACACTACCTGGCCTTAAATCGAGCCCTAAGTTTGCCAATTCCATCCCACAACATCCGACACTCTATTCGCCTCACTCCACCTCGAAACATCCTCATTTCATCCTCGAGTTACCTCATATAACACACAAACAAATACTCAATTAAATCAACCCCATCCAGAATAATTCAAACATGCCCAGAGCACGTAAATTGCCAATTTTCTCCAACCAAATGGCGTCGGATTAATTCCGATCCTTCACGGGACTTTCGCCATAATTTCTAGGTTCCAAAATTCAACTTGCATCCCAATCGGACCATCACAACCCCGTGAACAGTAATCCACAGCCAGTGAACAGTGTTTCGCAAAGCATATGAACAGTATTTCGCAGCCCCCATTTTCTGAATTTCCAATAAATATTACCCGAATTAATTCCTAAGGCTCGCCATAAAATTTCCACTCCATATCCATGTAATTCCGCACCTAATTTCATACTGATTTTGTCCGGAATTACCCGTCGATACCCAAAGTCCTAAATTAGGTTTAGGCGCGACTTACCCGCGTTGGCTAACTCAGCATATCACATGGTCAATTGAACAATAATTTCAATTGAACCCAAACGTGCACGAATCAAACATATTTACACCAGCCCATTGCACAGATGCACACACAATTCTACCACCACAACTCAATTATAATTAAAACACACGTAAAACACATAAATTTCTATTTTTCTCCCACCAAACGACGCCAAATTGATTCCGGTCCTTCATGGGACTTCCTCGCCATTAAATACCGGTTCTAAAAATCCAACTTGCGTCCGGAACAAACCATCACAGCCCCGTGAACAGTGAATCACAGCCCCGTGAACAGTGATTCTTAGCTTAAAATTCCCTCAAATCGTCCTCCAAAAATTCCAAATTAATTCCTTAAGGCCCGCCATACATTCCCGGTCTAAAGCCCCAACATTTCGCACCCGCACAAGTCCAATTTCACCCAAAATCAAATTGTTCGGCGATACCCAAAATCCTAAATCGGGATTAGAGTATGACTTACCGCGTTCTAGGCTAAAACGGCTAGAACGGAAAGCGGCGGCACTTAATCGGGAACGGCGGCCACGATGTACGGCTCCCGGGTGGCGGCAATCGGCTTGGGTGGCAACAACGCGGCTTGGGCGGTGATTGGGGGCTCACGGCCAAGAGAGAAAGAGGGAAAGAGAGTGAGATGGTGAGGTTTGAGGATGGTGGTGGCGGCGTACGGGGACGGCAAGGCGGCTAGACGGCGGTCCGGCGTGCGGCGGCGAGCGGCGGTGCCGGCGGTGGGGAAGAAAGAGAGAGAGAGTATACGGTGGAGGGGGAGGGGACTAACGGAGGAGGGGGGATTTCACGGGAAGAAGGGGAGAAAGAAGAGAGAGTAGAGAGAGAAAGGGGTCAAGGGCTTAAAAATCAATTTTGACCAACTTTTGGCAATTTACCAAAATGCCTCTTCTCTTACACAACTAACCGTTTAATAAATCCTAGGGTATTTTGGTCACTTTCTCCGTTTCTTTCAAATCGAATTTTTCCGAAGGAATTGAGCACACCAAAATTCACACGTGTCACGTGCAACGTCATCCTAACCTTCCGGCGTGACTTCCTGATTTTCCGGTGTCCAATTTGGGCAAAATTCCATAATTAAATTCTATTAAACGCAACTCGAGCGTTTCTCGAGCTAACGGGCGGCTTGCTGGGGAAATTCACAGAATCGACTCATGACCGATACTGAATCGAGTCACGTGCAAGTCCGTTCGGTGCGTGATGACCTCGGTTGTCATTAAAATCGCGAATATCAATCACTTGATCCGAGGGTACGATCGGTCGGTATAATTTCAAAATCATTCGTCAAGTCGTTTCGTGGTCCAACGGAATCACCCGCGATCCACTACTAGACAGTGGCGAACCGACCCCTAACTATCCTTGGATCGGCCAACAATGGCTCAAAATATCACTTCCGCGATTTAATGGTCGAAATCCATTCACGATCGAATTTCCTTTAGTCGCGCGAATTTAATTCCCCTATTAGCCTTTCCCTAATGGTTAAGCATTCCCAGAATGATCGCCATTAACCGACTACGAGTACATTCATAAAATTCAGTATTTCATAAATCCCAAATGGACTAATTTTTCAGGATGTCACAGTAAATCCGGAGTCCAGGCAAGTTAAAGCTAGCCCCACATGCTAAAGAATCTGTTGAATTTCAGATAATGACTGAACTAGATGATAACATCAGGACAATAGAATTTTTCACTCTTTCATCATTTTGATTGATGCACTGAAAGTGTTGTCGGACCCATTCAATTAAAACCAAACAATAGATACTTTATATTGTTTATAAATGTAGAAGTACTTCATTGGGATAGTACACATCGATGTATCGTCTAAGGATAAAGTGAAGCAGTAAATATAATTACTTGCTCCTACAAAAGGTTAGAGAGTCGATACTATTTATCTCCACGCATAATCATTGGCAATGGACTTCAATAAAAAGGCCTTCACCAAGTTGCTGATCTAAAATTCTAAGTTGCACACTGCGGGGAACATCCTTAACGGGAGGTTTATCGACCTTCTGGCAAGGTGATTGTAACGATATTCCTTGTGCACGATTCTTCCCTTATTGAAGGTGCCTCTGTGTTCGATGGAACTCTCTCCATAAAGAACCCGGGCTGTTTAGGCTGTGGCAAGATTGCTTCCTCATTCGCTAACATGAAAATGACTGAAGACATTGTTGGCCTGTCTCCAGGAAACTTTTGGACACATAGCAAACCGACATGAATGCATCTCTCTACTTGGGATGCAATGAAGGAGTCGCATAGAGATTCATGTAGAAGATCCAAGGACCTGCCTGCGCTCCACAGCAACCATGTCTAGGACAAATCCATCCATGTCATCAAACATCACATAAAAGACATGAGTTTTAACAACCATACTGTACTGACTTACATGACCAAGAAGATTGTGTTGATGATCAGGATGGCAGAACCCTCTGTTCCTTTTGCCACTTACTATCTCTAGCAAAATTACACCAAGGCTAAAAACGTCGGATTTCACAGAGAATTTTCCGTCAAAAGCGTATTCCGGGGACATATAGCCACTGCATTAAGAATATTGCAAACTTAATCTACCCAATGTTCATGAACAGTTGCTCGTTAATCAAGATGAGAAACTTACTAGGTACCAACGATTCTTCTCGTTTTCACTTCTCTTACATCGCCTCCAAAGATTCTTGCGAGGCCAAAGTCTGAGATTTTAGGATTGAGATCAGCATCTAACAATATATTGCTTGTTTTGAGATCTCTGTGAATGACTTGTAGTTTTGAATCTTGATGAAGATAGAGAAGACCTCTCGCAATTCCTAAAACTATGTCAAAGCAACTTTTCCACGCTAACAAGAACCTTCTGTCTTAACATTTAAGCTCAGCACTCTAAAGAGAATGAGTTTATCGTTTAGAATTTGGATGTATGTCCATGCAGAGGCACAAATGACACCCAGACTAATAGCATGGGGGTCGAGTGAAAAGGAAATGAAAAGGATCAAGGAGGTCAAACCGAAAATGAAATAATCCAAGCTTTTATTTGGCATATACTCATATATTAACATCCTTTCTTCTCCCTCGATGCAACAGCCAAGAAGTCCGACAATATTCCTCTGCTGAAGTTTGGCAATTAGGAGTACTTCATTCATAAACTCTTCGAGACCTTGTCTTGAACATTTGGACAGCCTTTTCACCGCTATTTCTTGACCCATGTTGAGATTTCCCTGCTTTTTGTTTCCAATTACATAAGCTCATTGTGTTATGTAAACTCGCAAATTCATAACTCATTACCTTGTAGACTGAACCAAAGCCACCCGCTCCAATCATGTTGGTCTGTGAGAAATGTCCAGTAGCAACGGCAATGGTAGAATAATCAAATAACGGTAAATCAATGTCTTCCTTCTGACTTTGCAAGCCTACAAGGATAAGATCACATAATATTAATTGGTCATGGTCCGACAACAGAATTGAAGACAAATCTTCACTTTAAAAAGGGGACTGGATTACGAAGCTCACCTCTTCTTTTCATTCTGCTCTTCCACATAATACTCAATGCTATACCTGCTATGACCAATCCAGAAATGACTGAAGCCACCGTGACAGTCAACAGTATTTTCTTATTGACAGGGCTGTGGATGGAATCTAGAATAGCCAAAAAGTGTGTTAACTAATAACAGAAAGTAATATGTTCATAATCTGATGAACGTAACCAAGAATAGTGCAGCAAAAGGATAAAAAAACGAGTAATAAATAGTCGGGTACAAGATCATGATTAATCCAGCATTTACTATGTACACAAAAAAAAGAAAAAGTAAGATCATTGCAGCATAGGAAAGCAATTGCTAACTGAATCATTATATACATATATACCTAACTCAGAAGCTGGTAATTTTATGTAGATATTTTGTTCATAGTTGACTTGTTCAGTTTCTCTTATATCAATGAGATCGCCGAACCACATCAAACAGCCACTCCCTCTTCCTCTAACATCTGAATCAGCATAAGCCGTACAAGAACAGTTCTTTAGACACTCCACCTTGCACTCCTTAAGGCTCATATTCTTGTTTAACCGGAAGTCTATCAAGTCAGGCAGAATCAGCATCGAAAGTTTCAGAAAGCCCTCTTCGTGAGAGCAATTCAACCTGGCTTTCCTAATGCACCCACTGGTTGAATTAAGTACTTGCCACTCTTCTTGGGACTTGGGCATGAAACCCTGCAAGCACTGGCATCTAGGGTCTCCTTTACTTCTGCAGACACCATTAGCACCGCATTGTCCATAGTTATCGCATGGATCACGGGGAAATGAGATCATGACATCCCATGGAGAGCTCTCTTTCTTCCTTAAAAGACGTTGAATAAGACCAGACTGATTCAATGCGTATATGCTGATGATATCATCCCTTGAAGATTCAAACTCAAAATACACATCTGTTTCATTGTAAACAAACAACGGCTTGAAAAGGGTACTCACAGTCGCTGGAGTTCCCGTGAAACCGAATCCATTCCATGGCCCTGTCCGAAATATTTTTGTGGAGCCTCTTTTGAGCATTTCAAATTGGGGCAACCCATTAACATTTATTCCGTGGGTGTAGTCTCCAGAGGAAGGATCATCCGTGCTTTTCCAAGAAGTCAGACGCCATTCAAAACCAGTTTTGAGATTCCATCCCATTCGCATACCAGCTAAAAGGGTGTCAGTTGGATAGTCAAAGCTCTGCCATGAGCATTCACCAGAGTGTGAGCTGGTATTCTCTGAAACGACAAGGTTACCAGAATCCAACAACTGTGCAACTGGGTTTCTTAAAACCCTGGATGGATTTGAAGACCAGATGATACTCTTTGATTGGTTGAGAACAACCAGATTCCTCTCATCGCTAAATGTGAGAACACCATTTGAATCAGTGAGCGGGTTGTTTCTGTTGGCGACCCAAACTACTTTTTCAGGACTAAATTTGTACCATATCCCCATGTACCTATACTTGGAGTTTTCTGGAGAGAAGAAGCCAAGCTCAAAGCTTTGGCCTGAAGAGACTAATTTCTCCCCATCTTTAATGGACTGACCTGGACTTAAGGTATCAGATGCGATCGACAAGTTCAGCACAAACATGACATGCACAGAGTAAAAGAAGAGGGAATATGGAAGCTTTTCCAATGCCATTAAGTCTTCTGTTAATTTTTCCTTAGCTCCTCCCTCTCAATGAAAAGTGTAAAACCCAAAGGTTCTCACCAAGAATATCTGGCTGAAGCCTACCTGACAGGATATTCTGTAGTTCTATAGCCGAGTCTTATCACTAGCAACTCCCATTGGGATAAGAAATCAAGGGTCATGAAATGTAGACGACGACCAAGTTAAGCTGTCAAGTGTTTTTATTGGGAGACTAATGGTGTCTATTCATGCAGTGGACGAAAGTCATACCCCTCCGTTCACGGCTCAGTTACAGTCTACGAGACGGAGACAGGGTGACAACTAACAAATATTCCCCAAGCAGGATTAATTTCGGGCTGTGCTAATCCAAAGGAAGATGTGACAACACAAGTTTGGCAACTGGTAAGCAATTTTGTGACGTGTGTTGTAAAGGTTGGGCCAAGCCCACAAGCCCAAGCAACCACTTAAGCCCATGAGGCTATTTTTAAGCCTAACTAGGAAGAGGTGTATTCGTTTCGCAGAAAATAATTAATTTGAAAAATATTTTTCGAAAAATAATTACTTATATCATTTAGAAAAATAAATGAATGGAAAATCTTTTTACTGCCCACGAAAATAGTTAGGTATAGATTGTTATCGATGATAAAAATATTTTCTATTGACTAATTTTTATAAATTATATAATTAATCATTTTTTGGAATTTTTTTTTCAAATCACTCATTTTCCGTGAAATAAACGCACCTTGCTGTTGGTTGGAAAGCATCGATTGATGCCGAATATGCCTATTGCATGTGATCGGTTAGTGTTTCCTTGTTGTTTTTTTCAACTTGCAAGTTAGTTTTTGTTCTAGGAATAAAAATTTGTAGACCTACCTATGTTGGTTTCGATGATGACGCTCCGGTCGATATTGAGCTGTTCAATGATGATAATTAGGTTCCTCACATCCCTAAGAACTTGTAGGATTTTATGGATATTTTCCGTTTGAGAGAAATTGATTTTTTGACATCCTTGGGACATCAGTAACTTGACTAGCACCTTTCCATGCCAAAATTCGTCGATTGCTAGCAAGATTGGATCGGAAAATCTTAGGATCTTTAGTACTTTGAAGATGCTTTCTTTTGACATTAAACTCGTTTGAATCGTAAGATGGTGGAGAGAATTGTGGCGTGACCAAATTTGACATATGAGCTGCGCATAGCGGACAACAATCGATGTTCTGCTATGGTTGAGCTTTTCTTTGGCGCATAGAAGTTGTTTTGTCGGCGAATAAATTTAATTTAGTCAAGTTGTCGTTAAAGTAGTGCTTTAATTGATTTTGATATCGTTTCTCGCTTAGTTGATAAGATTTCGAGTTTGTCAGGTCGAGTAGCTTACGTTGTTTGGTTTTGCAACCCCAAATGAGTGGTGGTGCGTCTTTGAATTTGTAGACTCTTGACTTGAAAGTAATTGGAATTTGATATAATATGAGTTACAAAATAGTGACATCTAATACTATTTGGTTATTTGTGAATGGTTTGAGAAGTGTTTTTTTTCAAAGGTATTATGAAAGGTTATATGTGTTGCCTTGCGTATCTATTTATGAAATGAATTCTTAAATAATTTGAGAATTTCTTTACGAAAGCTATTCTGACTGATAAAATGAGTTGTGAAAGAAAATATGTTTTGGTTCGTAAAACTGATTTATGACAGAGTGTTTGGATTTAATTTTATGGATTATTGGAAGATAATGTTAGTAGTTTGATGCTCATTGTCGCTATAAATTGTAACAGCCTGAATTTCGACGTAATTCCGGGATCAATAAAATTGACATTATTTCCCATTTCATTTTAGCAGGTCTCGTCCAGAGCTGATCACTCTCGGGATACTAACCAATGGGGTATGGCTAACTAGAAAAACGGTACATGGATCAGGGACCCGATCGCGAATCGAGCACCGATCTCGAGAAACGAGGAAGGAATATTTTGGGCAACGTGGGCCGATATTAGGAAAAGTGACGGATTTGGTTTGGCCAAGGCCAACGATGTACAATCGGATCGCATGTGATTCTGCACGACCGAAAGTGCACGTGGCCAACCAGTCCCGAACTTAACCCGAACGATCGTGACCTCTGGAACTAGTGATAATTCCTCTCTCTCTCTATGATCGGAACCGTCATGACTCGGATAACCCTAGGTCGATACGCGTAACCCCTAAACAGCCGCCCGTTAGTGAGAGACCCTGAAATTGGAAATTTAGCGAGTTTTGGTCATGAAATTGAACCCGGACTTCGATGTCGATTTTCGAGGGCTTGCACGACTATTTTTGCGAATCCGACGTCATATTATGTTGGCCACTCATATTTGGGGATGGTACGGTCGAAAAATGGAAATTCGGCCCGGGACCGGAAAATTACGATTTTGCCCCTAGGCCTATTTTTGGGTATTCCGAATTTTGGGGATTTTGGAAATTAAATTTGGGGATTAATTGTGGATAAATATCAGCCCCAAAAGATTGGACCAAAATGCCCTTGGATATTTTGGTTTGGATTAATCTTGGCCAAGTAAGGAGGGGCAAAATTGGAATTTGGAAAGTTTGGTCAAAATTTGACTATTTAAGTCCAATTCCCTTTCTCTCTTCTCACGGCAGCCCCCCCCCCCCCCCAACCGAGAACTCTCTCCCCTCTCTCTCTCTTGGCCGTGGACAAGCCAAGCCGGTTCAAGCAACCGCCGCCGTCGCCGTTTCGCCGATCGTCACCGCCGTGTGCCGCCGTGAGCTGCCGATCAGCCGATCCCCCTTTCCACTCTAGCCGAGTTAGCCTAGAGTTCGGGTAAGTCACGCCCTAAACTCTATTTACGATATCGGGTATTAACGGACTCGTTTAGGCGCGGTTTAGGGTAGTTTAGTGGTTGATGGAAGTGATTGTAAATGGATTAGAGGAGAGCTTGATCCCTTGTTGTGTTTATGGATGTTCATGTGGCTGGTGGATGATAGTTTGGACATGGTGGAATGAGTTTTGGCGGTTGAAATTCGGTAGAAATCAACTAGGATTTGAATCCGTGCGGTTTGGTGTGATTCTCGGATTCGTGACTACTGTACCCGTCCGGTTTGCTATTTTTGTGGAGAATTTTGTGGGCCGAATTTGAGGAAGTTTCCTTCATCAAAGTTTCTCCCAACATCTTGAAGTATAACATATTTTAAATTTGGAATTTTTGGAGGCCATTTGAGTCGCACGAAAGCCCATTTACAGACCGTATTAAACTGCCCGGAACACTGTTCATCCCGACCTTCTTGTCTTGCTGAATTTTTATAAAATTTTCCGGATCTATTTTCAATGAACTTCCTTCACAAAATTTGTTGGAGACTTTCTTTTATATGGCATATAAAAATTTCAAAGCTTTCCAAGGTGATTTGGATGTTGAAAGAAATGTATTTTGAGGACAAAGTAATCTGTTAGAGCGAACTGATTTTGGTCTGATTTCGAGGGACAAAAAGGCATGGTTGCAGATTGAACCGGATTTCGTGTTCTTCATAAGAAATGTTTATCAAGATGTTTTTTATGATATATCCAAAATTTAGAATTTTTGGAGTTCGTATATGCGATTGTATGGTTTGTGATTGTTGGTTGATTCTGGATTGTGTCTTGGGCTGAATGTGGCGTGATTGTGTGCCGAGAGTGTGTGGCCATGAGGCGTGATGGTGTGATTGCGCATTGAGTTCGCGTGCCAAGCATGGGTGATCGTGTGGTGCTCATGTGGCGAGAATGTGTATTTGTGAAGTGTATGTAAAGTGTGCGATTGTGTGTGGCCGTGTGTATATGTGGCCGTGTGGTATGTGTGGTATGAGTGGAACGAAGGTACGGGAATGTAGGATTGGTTGGAAAGGTTCCGTCCTGAGGCATGTTCGTTTACGCGGGACGATGCCGTCCCTGACGAGGTGACGATGCCCGGCCCGACGGGGTGACGATGCCTGACGAGGTCAGAAGACCGTTGGCCTGATGCGTTTTACGCGGGCGCGGTAGTGGTGGAAAAGTTGGGAATGAGCTGGACCTGGCTTGACGTGTGAGGATTGCAAAAGTTGACGCATGGCGTGAGTTAGTGTGCGAGTGTGGTTGTATCGTGTGATGTAGTGCTCGATTATGGGGTAAAAACTGCTAGGCATGGTATGGGACGTGCCCAAGTGGGTTTTGCCTTATAATCGAGGCACGCACGATTGTGATGCATTGATGCATGTAATATGATTGATGCATGTGAATTCATATTACATGCTTCGGTTTTGCGACATGAATGAGGCATCATTGTGGCATGTTGGCTGTATTATTATTTGGCGTGCATGGAGGTGTATGAAGAATCCCAGGTAGGTTCGCGTGTGAGTGTTAGTATGATTGGTTGTTTGTGTCAGGTATGTGTGGTCTGGAGGTACGTGATAGCTTAGGTGGGGTTTAGGGGTGTACTTATTGAGATGTAATCTCATGGTTGTTTCAACCAAACATTTCAGAACCCCGGTCTGATCAATGAACCTTCCGCTGCCGCCGCAGCGTTTTGCAATACCGTTGCACACCGACATTAACGTGGTAGAGTAGCCGACAGACGAGCAGGAGACTCAGGAGGATTCAGATTCAGAGAACGAAGAATCAGACTCGGAGTGAACGCCAAGTAGAGGGCGTAGGGGCAAGTGTAGGGGTTGTGGAATAGGCTTTTGAAGCGTACTATTTTTGGTAATAGGGTACCCAGGCTATCGATCCTTTTTTATATCGGTGGTACGTAGTGTGGCGATGCGGTGTGCTTGTATATATGTGGTTTTGTAAATTGTGAATATTATATAAGTTTGAATGAGAAATGAATTTGTGCATTCTCCCTGATTACCCAAGTTATTATCGTCCGAGTATTGGTGGTTTCCGCTGTTGATATAAATCTCTGATAAGTTTCATTTGGGTCGGCGTTACCCTGGGATGTCGCATCATTCGACCAGAGAAGTGTGTCGCGTGCTCGAAGGGGTTCGGAGCGTGACATCCTTGTTGAATTGGTATCAGAGCGAGGTCAGCTCGATCTAAACTGGTCGAAGTTTGGAGTGATAA